TTAGAGCAACAGCAGAGACGGTCTATTCTCAGGCAACAGTTACTGGATATCTTCAGTGAACTTTCCACCTTGTTTTGGACTGAAGATACCCCCAGAGGTGGTTGTAAAGAGTCCACAGAGACATTTTCTTCCTTCTTCACTGCAGCCCTTTAAGGTCCTACCATCACTTTAAGTCTCCAAGATATCCACGCCAACACAACCTGTGAAGTTAGCAACTCCTCCAGAAGTGGCAGAAACCTTTGGGAGAAGAGCCCAATCTAAACCCACCATGAGAGTCTCAGTTTCCCAACTGAACGTGTGCAGACCAAATCCTGGCTACCTGACGCCAAGTGACTTCAGACGGGCCTACTCACCAGCTGATGGATTGGCAGTGAAAGATCCCGGAAAGAAGAAAGTACAACTTGTGCACTGCAGACTGAGCTATACAGAGGAAGACAGAAAGCAGGAAGTGATTGGTGGCTCAGTAAAGAACCTGTTCTCCTCACAGCCTTCTTACCGGTCTTGTATTTATCACGAGGTGCCTCTGAGGTGCACTAGATCCTTTGTGTTTTTGGACAAGCCACTTTGTATTTCCCTTGTGGAACTACAGGGGAAAGGAGCACGTAAACCAGCTTTGTGTAGGTCTACATTGTCAATTCGCCTTGGTACCTCGTCCTGCCACAGATCCTCTAAAGATAGCAAACCAGCCAAAAGAAATGAGGGATATGCGAAATCCAGAGCAGCCGTGTTGGACAGCAACCAACGTAATGGCCGAGAGAGCTCTTCGGGTTGCTGCAGAGGCCCTCTATCAAAGCACAGGGGCTACAGGTTCAACCGAACACCACCCGCTTGTGGTGTTAACAGCAAGAATGAGGATTCAGACACGCACTGCCTCATTAATACTTTGGGATTATTGTCATTCAGAGGGCCAGGTCCCTCAAACACAAAGACTGGCACACAGAAGGGGAATGCAGATGAGGCTAGCTTCTCTGCATGGAGAAATTTCAGGCACAGGCAACACACTTTCGAAACTGGCTCAGGTATGAATTTCATCACCTTGATTCACAAGTCTAAAGCATTTAAAGTGGCCATGCCAACTGATCTGTATACTCCTTTGACTGCCTTATATATATTCTAAAGCTGCTGTAGATAAGATCGCATTATTCTATAGGTGTGAAAGTAATCTAAATGTGGTCTTGGAGGGTAGAAAGTCTCATTTTTTCGCTCTGCCTGTCACCTTTTGATTTATACTTCATGCATGGATAATAGACTCACACACCTACCACACTTATCCTACTGTACATTCACATTGTTTAAATAAATCCCAGCTGATACAAGCACACACTCAGCTCAACTGCAAGTTTTATTAAAGTGCAAACACTTTCTTTCATCCTCCTTTTACTTTTCACACTTTGCTGCTGCATATCTTAATAATAGACTTAAAATAAACTGGAGGATTTTAAGAATCTTCCAATCTCTTAAGAAGTCAGGACAAGATTTTATGAAAGGATTATTTTAAAAAAAAATGTAATTGTGTTTATGCCACAGAGGAATTTCCTGTTTTAGAAAATGGCAATTAAGACAACAAACCAGCCCCAAAACAACACATGTGAGTTGTTCAGCACATGTGAGATTTTCAGTGTCACACTACAACATGGTCTATTATTAAATGCAAAATTTGGTCTTTTGGTGTAGGAAACCAACTATTTCACTTCAAACGCCATCTTAAAACACACACTTTGACTGTTTTCCTGCTTAGAGGTAGTCTTATCTGTGCAATGTTTGAATAAATCCCTAAATATGAAGTTTATATCTTAGTTTAAGACAGAAAAAATGGGGAAGCAGTTAAACAGGATGCGTACAAAGGTATAAAAACCAACATATCTACACTTCTAAAACTGACTAAAAGGCCTCACTTGCTTATAGGCAGGAGCCCAGAAAGCCTATAGGACTGACATTTGAGGTCCTAGACAAATAATCATCTCCTTGGTGAAATTCCTCTGGTTTTTACTTTATCACTGTTTTATGTTCTAAGTGACTGTTCTTTGTACTCATTTTATATTTTTCACTTGATGTAAGATGAAAGGCTGTTAATGGATGATTTCCTTTTCACTGGAATTTATAGTGAAGCCAAGAGGGAAAGCTACCTCCTATAGAAATAGTTTGACCGGTGACGCTAGTTTGTAATAGTGCTCTATATACATGCCATACGCTTATGGCAGGGTATTCAGTGGAGATATATATTCTACAAAAGCTACAGGAATGGGGCTATGGGTGGTGGATGGATGCGCTGCCATCTTTTACATTATTCATGGGCCACACTCGTGTTCCCTCTGGGTTTTTCTATGTGTGTGTGTGTGTGTGTGTGTGTGTGTGTGTGTGTGTGTGTGTGTGTGTGTCGCCGCCGTTGCCTTCCGCACGGCCGGCCCCCGGACCGCCATCGCCTGAGCGGCCGCCGTTGCCTTCCGCACGGCTCGGCCCCCGGACCCCATCCTGTGCCTGCCTTGACGGGCCCCCGACAGCCGTCTCGTTGCCTCCGCACGGCCGGCCTCCCGAACTGTGTCCACGTCGCCGCCATTGCCGCCCGCACGGTCGGCCCCCGAACTCTTTGTCTTGGACTCCTGTGCTGTCGGCCCCTGGCCGGCCCCCTGGACTCTTCTTTTTGGACTCTGTTTTCCTGTGCTTGGTGTGCTCGTTTCTTTTGGTTTTGGACTCGTGTTTTTGTTTGTCTTTTTGTCCTTGACCTTCTGGTGCTCCTGTTTTGTTTTGCCCCGAGCCCTCCGTCCTGGGCCCCCGCCGCCCGCCCTGGTCGGGTTGTTTTCTGTTTTTTCTGGCTGATTTTTGTTGGGCTGTCTGGAGCCAGCCTTTGAGGGGGGGGTCCTGTCATGGTCCGGAGTCTGTGACTCCGTGTTTATGTTTAGTCTATTAGTATTCTGTGGTTTTGGTTACCTTGGGTGTTTGTACTCTTCTGTTCATGTCTCCTATGTTCTGTGTCCCCCAGTCTGTGTTAAGTTGGTGTGTTATGTCATTGCTGTATGTGTTTCCTGTTTATTGTGATGGTCTGCGTCTTATGTGAGTGTTTTCAGTTTGCCTCCCTAGTCTCGTCACGTTAATCACTCCCAGCTGTGTTCCCCACCTGCGTGTAATCTCCCTGTGTTCTCTGAGATGTATTTAAGTTGTGTCTTTCTGTCATAGGTAGTTGCTGGTTATCGTCTGTGTTGTTTCCCCTCGTCTCCCTGCGTCTTCCTATGTATTTCCCCGGACCTCCCTGCATCTTCGTTTCTAGTTTGTTTTGTTAGTTTTACCCAGTTTAGGTTTTCCTGCTTCACCTTCACCCACGCCATTGCTGTTTGTATTTTCTTTTGTTAAATAAATACTCATCTGCACCGAGCTGCTGCCTTTTGGGTCCTTCCTACATTCCACACGGCTTGCCCCGGCAATCCGTGACA